TCTATGTATAAAAGGGGAAGTCATAGGAGGCGCACTTTTGTCCAGTCTAGGAGACAGCAGAGACTCCCGCTGCTGAGCTAGTCCATTGTCACGGGCGTACATGTGTTAGTGTACCCGTAGTGCCTGTAGGGCACTAGGACTGGGCTTCATCGACAATAAACCTGGCTGAGCACCTTTGCCACTGAACCAAGCCTGTGGTCTTTCTTATGAGTAACATCAATCTCTGCAGAATTAACATTCTGCACTGTCTGCTAGTGCAACACAGCTAACATGGGAGCACCAAGAACAGTAACAAAGATGCAGCAGCAACAACATTCTTCAGCACTTAACAACCGTTAGAAAATGGTGAATGATGCAATTCGTATTTACTAGATGATGATTAATTTTTTTACTTAAGATTTGTGTCAAGTTCTATTGCGGTGGAAATTCAACTCAATGCGCAAAAACAGCATTTTATTTTTATAAATTAAATAAATACCTTATGTATGCTGGATTGGGGATGCTACATAAAAAAGTTTATCAAAACATAGTTTTCATTTAAAGCTGACTGATTTATTAAACAAAGAAATTAGTATTCGTAGTGAATTGAACTGATTGTTTCTGGTCATCATGGCCCCAGGGCAGTGAAGCCTTCCCCAAAGTGGGGGAGTGAGAGCCCCCGGCCTCTCATTGGCTCCATCCCTGCCCCACCTCTTCCCTCAGAAGCCAAAGCGGGATGGGGACCCTGGGACCCTTAGGTTTGCCAGGTGTCCGGTTTTTGACTGGAACACCCAGTCGAAAAGAGACCCTCGTGGCTCCAGTCAGCACAGCTGACCGGGGCGTTAAAAGTCCGGTCAGGGGTGCAGCAGGACTAAGACAGGTTCCCTGCCTGCCCTGGCTCCACGTGGCTCCCAGAAGTGACTGCCATGTCCCTGCGGCCCCTAGGTGCAGGGGCAGCCAGGGAGGCTCCGTGTGCTGCCCCTGCCCTGAGCACCGGCTCCGTATGCCCTGAGTGCCAACTCCGCAGCTCCCATTGGTTGGGAACCGCAGCCACTGGGAGGTGTGGGGGTGGCGCCTGCAGGCTGGTACAGTGAGCGGGGTCGCCTTGCTGCGGTTCCACCTAGGAGCAGTAGGGAGATGCCCGCCACTTCTGGGAGCCACCTGAGATACGTGCCGCCTGGAGCGCGCACCCCCTCCCCCAGCCCTGAGCCCCCTCCTACACCCCGACCCCCCCTTCTGCACCCAAAGCCCCCAGCCCGGAGCCCCCTCTCGTACCCTGAACCCCTTATTTCTAGCCCACTCTCGAGCCCACACCCCCTGCTGGAACCCTCACCCCCTCCTGCACTCCAACCTTCTGCCCCAGACCAGAGCTTCCTCCCACACTCCGAACCCCTTGGCCCAACTCCACAGCTCAGAGCCCCCTCCTGCACTCCAAAGCCCTCATCCTTGGCCCCACCCCAGAGCCCACACCTCCAGCCGGAGCCCTCACCCCCTCTCTCGCACCCAAACTCTCTGATCCAGCCCTCAGCCCCCTCCCACACTCCAAACCCTCATCCCCAGCCCCACAACAGAGCCCGCACCCCCAGCCGGAGCCCCCACATCCCAACCCCATACCCCAGCCTGGTGAAAATGAGCGAGGGTGGGGGAGAGTGAGCAATGGAGGGAGGAGGATGGAGTGGGCGGGGGCAGGGCCTTGGGGAAGGGGTGGGGCAGTGACCGAGACAAGGGTATTTAGTTTTCTAAAATGAGGAAGTTGGCAACCCTAGGGTCCCTCCACCTGCCTGGGGTGGGGGGGCCCCAAGAGCAGCTTCTGGCCTGTGTCCCTGCTCCCCGGACCCTTGCCCAGGGCAAGTGGGGAGTCCATGGCTCCCCACAGCTGCTTACATGGCTCTTACGCCAGCCCG